ATTTCTGACTATTTTCTTCAATTTAGGCCACCTGACGTGGATTCGACAGTGCTCCTGGTCATCTTTGGTCACATAATAGAGAAGCTGACTCTACCATCCGGAATACCAGAAACTATGGAGGAGCTAAACTTGGCCATTAAGCAGAAATTAAACATCACAGGTGACTTCAGCCTGCAGTATTTAAATGCAGATTTTGAGGACTTTTTCACTCTAAACTCCACGGCTCAAATTAAACACAAAACCACAATTAAGGTTGTGATAATGGGACCAGTTGTTCTTAATATGTATCCATGCAATGAAAGCTACAGTGAAAGTGTCAACTCAGAGCAATCCCTTGATGCAGCTTCCACAAGTGGCATTGCACAGAACTCCCTTGACTCATGTGGTTCTTCTGTCAGCATGCCATCAAGCACCAGCAACCCAGAGAAGAAGCAATGGCCAACTGAATTCCTTATTCCACGATTCTCTGTTGAAACGGAAATGATTCTTGAAAGAGCCAACAAAGTTTACATGCAAAATGGCACGCTACTGACTACTCCAAATATCAAATCAGACATACTTGAAAAGCTAGCTCAGTCCATTTATACATATACTGCATATCCATCAGCCCTGCAAGTTCTTTCTGCTGCTGAAGCGCTTATCAAGGCACACCCATGTCTGAAGGATCGAGGGAGCTCTTCAGGTCTCAGTGGATGGCAGACTAGCATAAAATACAAAATGGCAAACTACCGAACAAAAATAAGAGGCTTTGGTATTCCCGATGTTACATGCAATGCTCTAAAACATAAAAGCCCTGATGACCAGAAGGCTGCCAAAAAGTGGTAGTGGTGGCTTGATGGTTAGGGTAACGCACTTGTAATTGAAAGATTGCAGGTTCGAATCCCCCACCAGCAAGTCACCACTGTACCCTGAGCAAGGTACTGTCCCCAAGCACTGCTCCCCGGGTGCTGAATTAGCTGCCCCCTGCTATGTCACGAAAGTCACATATGGGTCAAATGCAGAGGACACATTTCGTTGTTGCGCACTGTGTGCTGTGGTGTGTTGACAATGACCACTGATCACTAAATTCTAATTCTAAAAATGTTAAGAAGGGCAGAGGTTAATTATCTCCCACCCTACCCAGCTGGTGAAGATGAACACAGCTTGGAGAAAGTAAGAGAAGAACTAGTTACTGAGTCAAAGAAGAAGAACAATGAAAAGATTGTCAAGGACAAAATGAGCCAAACATTCGCCCTCAGACGACACGAAATCATCAATCTGTGTCCAAGTGTTCGAACAATGAAGGACCGCTGGCCTGCCCTATTTGACTCTTCTCAAGTAAGTTTTAATTTGTAATTCATAGTGAGAGTTAAGAAGTGTGTGTGTGTGTTTGTGAGAGAGAAAGAAAATGACCCAGTTAGTGATTACCAAAGAGTTTTGTCTAAAGGAAGATTCAAAATTATTGAATGTTAATCTGTTAAACCTCTTTTGTTTTCACAACTGATGTGACACCCTTTATTTTTTACTTTATGTTTCAGATAAATGCAGAGTTTCAAAGAATAGCAATGGTGCATCTGGAGCCAAAATTTTTGTCTGCTTTGGACATGCACACTTCCATGCTACTGACACTATTTCGTGCCAGAGGTGGAGCACTCGGAGAGAGACTAAAAAATATAATGGAACTGCTCAAGGTATATTTTTCAAAATTAAAAGAAACTGTTTTCCAAATAGCATTAATATGAACAATTTTACCTTGTATAAACAATGAGGCACAGTCACTACAGCAAAACGTGCCCCTAAAGAAAAAATCTTAGTCCACTTTGAAGCCATTGTGAAGCAGGTCCTTGTACTCTGAAGTAAAATACTTTTAGTATTGAAGAGTTTATGCCTCTGCGGCCTGCAAGACAACTACCTCCACCTCCGGCAACTACCCTC